AATATTCTTGAAGAGATGGCAGCCGAAATTGTGAATGGCAAACCGTACGTATGCTCGAAACTAAAGCCATTGCCAGGAACAGAGGAGAGGGAGCAGCCGACTTTCGATGTATCCAAGGCCGACGAGATCTTCGATATTCTATTGGCAGACGGGCAGATTCGTATTCCTAAAGGGCAAAGTTTGGCAACGAAGGAGGAAATAAAGGGAAGGCCATACTGTAAGTGGCATAATTCCTTTACTCATTACACTAATCAATGCACACATTTCCGAAAGGAAATACAGAAGGCTATCAAAGCAGGGAGATTCAAATATGTAACAATGGGAGTAGAGCATCAGCCCTTCCCAAAAGTAACTACTGCAATGATCTCTTTGCGGTCTTCACAAGTTGTGCAAAGTGATGATGAAGAAGACACCGGATGAAAAGAACGCAAACCTAAAGAACGAGAATCCAATCAAGAAGTGAAGTTCAAAGTTTGCGAAACTAGAGTGGCAGAGAAATGGGACAGAGGAGACGGGTCGTTCAAGGTAGAATTGAAAGATAAAGTTGTGGTACGGGACCGACTAACACGCAAACCACATCCAGTCCAAGAGAAATGGAGCCGAAACAGAAAGCCTCTGCCAATAGACATAGACCCTTGATTTCCAGGTATGAATCGCACACAAATATGCAGCACGAAATGGAAAGCGAACAGATAAGGGCAAGGAGAAGAAAGAATCATCACCTAAAAGGAAGGACGTGAATGACGAAACAGAGGAGTAAGAGGAGAGCAGCAAGCCGATCAAGAAGGCCAGATGTTTTCGATGTCAATTCTGCAAATGGATCAATATTGATCCTGAAAATAGAAATTGCAAAGGAAGAGACGCCCGAGATTATTTTCGGATCACTTGCCCCAGAAGAGACGAAAGTTTTGCGCAACAAGATAGTAAAACTTGATAAAGCAGGATTCGAGGTCAGGATGACGGATATGCGTTGGTTCGTTGAAGAAGAACCCATTTGGGCTAAGTTCGAGGAGAAGGAAGAACCAGAATGGGCAGCAATGGTTGGCAGACCCCCACCTATGGTTTTTCCACCTATACCAGAAGGGGCAATCCCGCATTTAAAACTACTCTATGTTAACGCTCACATATGTGGTAAGCCAGTTAACAAGGTTTTTATGATAATGGGGCTGTTTTTAATGTCATGCCCCTCAAAACTTTAAGAAAATTGGGTAAAGAGATTGGTGATTTATCTCCGGTAGACATCGAGATGACAAGCTTCACAGGACAACCGACCAAGCCAGAAGGGATGATGGTGGCGCCCATTGAGGTTGGACCGAAGGTGATTTCGATTGTGTTTTTTGTTGTGGATGCCAATACTACCTACTCAGTTGTTTTGGGGCGAGATTGGATTTACGCTTCCAAATGTGTGCCTTCTTCTCTCCATCAACAAATTATGTTTTGGGAAGGAGATCAGGTTTTCACCATGGAAGCCAGTACGAATCCGTTCAGCTCTACAGAAGGAGTGGAAGAATCGGTTCTTTATACGGAATACATACCACCTATTTCACGGACAACCATGGTAGATGAGTATCCCTGGAAGGGTTGTAAGCTCACTACGTAGGGTTGCATGTTACATTAGAAACAATTTTATGTTTTTATGGCTCTGTTGTTAGCCAAAATAAACTTTTACTTGAAGTTAATTTATGGAAGAAATAAATAAATGTGATAAACTAATTAGACAGTTCTATTTAAACCAATTAATGGTTAGACTACATAATAGTAAAATTTCCAACAATAATGTTGGCGAAGAGGAAGGTTTTCGCTGGCCAGATCTCCTGGAAAAGACAGAAACTTCTTTGTCAAGTCAGGACCCCCTCATTGAATATAATGTGGGAACCAAACAGATACCCAAGATGGTTAGGGTAAGTGGTTTACTGACAAAAAGTCAACAGGAGCAAATGGTAGCGCTAATTCGAGATCACAAGGAATGTCTGGCATGGGATTATTCCGAAATGCCCTGATTAGCGCGCAGTTTAATAGAACATAGGTTGCCTATTAAAAAGGGGTTTAAACCTTACAAGCAACCACCAAAGAGGGTAAGTCCAAAATTGATGCCCCAAATCAAAGAAGAAATTGAGAAGCTACTAAAGGTTGGTTTCATTCGTCCATGTCGATATGCGGAATGGTTAGCCAATATCGTTCCGGTAACCAAAAAAAATGGAAAGATCCGAATTTGCATCGACTTCAGAGATCTCAATCTCGCCACTCCAAAAGATGAATATGTTATGCCAATAGCAGACATGTTGATCGATTCTGCGGCGAGACACCAGATTTTGAGTTTAAAGGACGGATACGCAGGGTATAATCAAATTTCATTAGCAGAAGAGGATATACCCAAAAACTGCATTTAGGTGCCCAGGAGCGTTGGGAATTTATGAATGGACAGTTATGCCATTCGGTTTAAAGAATGCAAGGGCGACCTACCAACGGGCTATGAACACTATCTTTCATGATCTTATTGGGCGGTCAATGGAGGTATATATTGATGATGTGATCATTAAGTCTACCGACTTTGATTCACATTTGGTTGATTTAAAAAATGCTTTTATTCGGATGAAGCAGTACAACCTGAAAATGAACCCAACGAAATGTGCCTTTGGAGTTTCGGCGGGGAATTTCTTGGGGTTCTTAGTACATGAAAAGGGAATAGAGATTGACGCGAACAAAGCCAAAGCTGTTCTAACGATGCGATCGCCTCAGTCGGTCAAAGAAGTACAAAGTTTTTTGGGAAAGGTAAATTACCTAAGGCGTTTTATATCAAACGCTGCGGGGAAATTAAAACCTATCACAAAATTATTATGGAACAAGGCTACGGATTTTTCTTGGGGTCGGGACCAACAGAAGGCATTGGAGGAAATCAATGAGGCATTGGTTAACCCGCCTGTGCTGGTCCCTCTAAGAGGCGACCGACCTCTTCGGTTATATTTGGCGAACAGTTTTGATGTGGTAAGCAGTCTCTTGGTACAAGAATGGGAAGATGGTAAGGAAAGAGCCATTTATTATCTAAGCAACACTTTAGCAGGACCTGAGTTGAATTACAGTATGCCCGAAAAAATGTGTTATTCTTTGGTCTTTGCCTGCACTCGGTTGGAACATTATATTCTGCCTAGAGAAACCGAAGTGGTTTCTAAAATGGATTTGATCAGACTAATGTTGCACAGACCAACCATGCAGGGTAGATTAATGAAATGGGCTATTAAGCTGGCTCCTTTTGCACTACGCCACCGACCTCTCAAAGCTGTGAAAGGACAAGTTGTGGCTGATTTGTTGGTTGAGTTTACAAGTGATGGATCATCAGAAAACAAAATAATGCCATATATTGGCACCAGTCCTTGGAAAATGTTTTTTGATGGTTCCCGTTCGAAAGGAAAGTCGGGAGCAGGAGTGATACTAGAAGGACCAGGAGGCGGCAAAATTAATTTGCAGCTTCAAATGGAAGATATGACACATAACTCTGCAGAATATGAAGCACTGATTTTGGGTCTGGAAGCACTTATCGCTAAGGGAGTGCAGTCTGTGTTAATCTCTGGGGATTCTCAACTTGTTATCAACCAAGTACTGAAACGGTACGCGTGTAATTTTCCCCATTTGCATAGATACCGAGATGTAGTGCTACACTTATTATATAGAATCGGGGAAGTAGTCTTTGAGCATGTATCAAGAGCGGAAAATCAGTTGGCTGATAATTTGGCTCAGAGCGCTTGTCAACAGTTGATTGGCAGTCTCGATTCTGGGACTGATTGGAGAACAGAGATTATGGAATATTTGGAATCTCCAAATTCTACTGCTCCGGTTCGTGTTCACTTAAAGGCTTTGCGTTTTCAGCTAATTAATGGGATTTTATATAAAAGAACCTTTGAAGGGGTTTTGTTGAGGTGTTTGGGACCTGATGAAACTATTAAAATAATGGAGGAGGTCCATGGAGGAATGTGTGGTGCGCATCGGGCAGGTTTAAATATGCGATGGGCCATTCATCGTATGCGATTCTATTGGCCGAAGATTTTTTATGATTGTATCAGATTTGCCAAGGGATGTCAAGAGTGCCAGAAGCATGGTCCTTTACACTATTTGCCAACAGTGGATTTGCAGACAATGGTTAAACCTTGGCCATTCAAAGCTTGGGCATTGGATGTAATTGGAAAGATTCATCCGACCTCGTCGAAACAACATTCTTTTATTCTGGTGGCGACTGATTATTTCACCAAATGGGTAGAAGCAGTTCCCTTGAAGAATGCGACGCAGAAAGAAGTGATCGAATTTGTACTCAATCATATCATCTATCGATTTGGAATTCCTCACACTCTCACAACCGATCAAGGGTTGATGTTTACTGGGGAAAAGTTTATTGAGTTTTTGGCCGAATACAATGTCAAATTACACCATTCTTCACCGTATTATCCACAGGCGAATGGATTGGCCGAAGCAGCAAATAAAATTATTATTGGCATTATCCGGAAAATGGTGGAGGAGAATCCAAGGAAATGGCATATTCTGCTCTCTCAAGCATTGTGGGCTCATCGAAACAGTAGAAGTACTTCTACTGGATTCTCCCCGTACCAATTAACATTCGGGCAAGATGTAGTATTACCTGCAGAATTTGTCGTGCCTTCACCCAGGGTGACCAGTACAACAGCCTATGTTGATGAGATGTATTTACAAAAGATGTGGCAACAATTGGAAGAGTTAGATACAGATCGATTGAACGCATTGGACTAAGTAATTAAGCAGAGTGAGATTAGGGCAAAATATTACGGAAAAATGGTGGTCCCAAAGCTCTTTGCAGAAGGCGATCTGGTCTGGAAGACAATTTTGCCGACCTATAAGAAAGTAGATCAATTGGGAAAGTGGTCTCCCAACTAGGAAGGTCCTTTCATCATTCATAAGGTAATTGGAAATGGAGCCTTTATTATCATAAATCAAGAGGGAAAAATGGTACATGAGAATATCAATGCTAAGTATCTAAAAAGGTATTACCCTGCCTTTTCGGAACTTAGTCATTGATTATTTAAAAAAAGAAAAAATCATAGGACCCTTTAAAGGGTTCGAACCCATTGGTAAAAAGGGTTCTCTAATCATCGGAAAGATTAATGGTGTCATCCCAGACTGCTGAGGTCGAGACCATTTCAGGTTCTTCATCCAGGAGATCATCCAAATCCAAGCGGTAGCGATCCCATTTGTCTTGCATGTCTTGAAGATTTTGCTCAGTTCGGGACTTCATGTCCTACAAAGAATGAATCTCTCATTCAGCGAGGACACTCAGTCTGGAGAGCGTTGATCTTTGTGGTTGAAAATCATTGTTCCAACTAAGGTCTGGGAGAATGGCGGTTACATGATGGTTTATCATGTCTAGATGATGGTCGAGGTCCGATATACGTGTGAGTATGTCGGTATAAGGTTCGTAGCTGGTAGATATATGCTCCATCAGTCGGATGGTATGATGAATGGTTCTCCTACCTCTGCCGGAGAATCTGAATTTGAAATCCAGCTGTTTCAGAACCTGTATCATATCTTCAGCGTGGTGGCCTGTGGGGTGCTTTCCTACTAAGAATGGTTGGAGAGCACCTTCCCAGTTTGAGAGAGGAACACGGAGGCGAGGAGAAACCATATTGCATGAAAAGTAATGGTGATGTTTTGGATTTGGAGGTACGGAGTTTATATAAGTATTCTGGTTTCTAAGTTAGGTGATTTAGTAATAGGCAATAAATACGGATCTGTGTTTGCTTGATTAGACTCAGTAAAAACACAGGAAAGATAGGATCTGTTTTCTAAAAATAGGAATTAATACAGGTTAAAACCAAATCAATGTACAATATATTTGAATTACATGGAGAGAAGCGCCCGTAAAGCAGCTTTTAGATCGGTCCATTTGAGTTCTGACTTAATGGCCCGACGACGTTGGTACGCTTCTTGGTGTCTCTGGACGAGTCTCGTTTGAATAGCTGCCTGAAGTGTTCGCAAAGACTGGCTTGGTTAAGGCAATGTGTTTCAACCAGACGACTTCCCTCCTGTATGCTATCATTTATAGCTTCCAATCGTTCTTGAAGTCGTCGTAGTTCTTCAGTCTTTTGGGCGATTTCAGTAGCTAATGTATGTCTCTCCTGCCGGAGCTCGTCCAGTCGGGCCCTAGCCACGTTGAGATCTTGGTCGGCCTTCTTCAAATCTGCTTCAATATTATTAGGATCTGCTGCCGGACGGGAGGAGGTCGCTTCGGATAATGGGGGTCGGATCAGAGGAAGTTCAGCTTGAAGTTCAGTGATCCTGGCCATCATCCGATCGAGAACTCGTGAAGCTCCCGACTCCAGGGCAGGTTGAACCAATAGGGTTATTGCGACTTGGACTAGCGCCGAAAGGTCAGCCAGTTCTAAGTCAGCAAAATCCAAATTGGCGCATCGTTCCACAATGGTTCTAACGGGAGTCGGGAGGTCTATTCGGGTCAAAATGTTCATCTCCTGAGCAGCCTGAACCAGAATAAGATTAGCAAGCTAAAAGACATGGCAAAATTTTTGAGAGATAAGGTCGGAAGGTTACTTGATTCAGGGCAGCTGTAGCCTCAGAAGGGGCCATAAGTTGGAAAATTGAGGGGTTGACTGGTCGGGTGATCGGACCAGCAACTGATTCATCCCCTGGTTGAAGTTGTTGGGCGGCTGCTAAATCCATAGCCTGAATAGAAGACAAAAGTTTTCAGCACCGTTGGATGGGCGAAAAATAAAATCCCAAAAATGGATGAGAAAGGGTATCAACCGGATCCAGCGGGGCAAAATTAACGGAAGCTTCACCCGATTTTGAGGAGGAAATTTCCTCTACATCATGGGGTGGTTGGACTGGTTCGGGTTGGACTGGTTCGGGACCGGCAAGAGGAACCTCATCTTGCTGAACAAGCGGGTCGGGTAAAGCCACAACCTGGTCGAGGTCGGGTAATACCACATCTTCAATAGGTGCCTGGACCAAATAGGTTTTAGGTATCAAGAGTTTTTATCAAAAGGATGATGTTGAAAGAAAATTTAGCGCTTACTTGTTGAGGTTCTGCAACTTGGTCGGGGAGGACAACAGGTTGGTCGGGCATCACCACAACCATGTCCGACGCTGGGGGAGGAGGTAGCCTGCCCATCGATTCGCCTGGTCGGTGTGCCTACAATAAAAGGTTTGAAGTTATTGTTTAAAATTAATATTTTGTTGGTCTAAGGAATGTCGGAAACTATCTTTTACCTCTGATTGTCTGGGAGTCGGTTGTGTGGTGATCGGGACTATGGCTAGTTGTTCTGTGGTCCGGACCACAGATGGTTGTTCTATGGCCGGGACGGCAGTTGATTGGGACGAAGATAAATTAATGGGAAGTTGTGCCTCGGGTGATTGTTGATCGGTCGGTTGAGACGTGGTCGGGCCAGTGGTCGGGAGCATTGAAGGATCTTCTGAAGTAGACATATTGGAGTTAAAAAGGGGCCGTATGAAAATAACATAGGGAAAGGAACAAAACTTACCAAATTGTTGCCTTAGATACTTTGGCATCCCACTGGTATCTATTGGCAGAGAAGCCAAAGATTCCTCGATGGCCTGCCTATCGATAGCATGAGTGGCCTTTGTGTTTTGTCTTTTTGCTCCCGACCCACCTGCCACAGGTGCTTGCCTTTTCCTTCCTCTGACTGCCAGTCGGGGGGAGCCAAGAGCCAGAGCTGGGGGTGGAGCAAGCCTCCCGACCAGTTGGTCAGTCGAAGGGGCAAGTAAAGACCAGGTGGCCGACCACCAGGTGGGAAAATTTTCGGTTGTCGAAGGTTTTGGGCAAAAAGGGAGAAATGAATTCGAGGTGATGTAGCTGGTAAGTTGAGAAATATAGGTCGAGATGAGTTCGGGAATTACCAAACCCTCGGGGCTTTGAAATATGAGGTGAGGGCTGGCTAATGGTCCTGGTATGCCCTGGCAGCAACCAAATTGCCTCGACAAAAATTGAGGTTGGTAATTGTAAGTAAAAAATGATCTACGATTCTTCTTATCCGACCTCCTACTAGAAAAAAGAGATCGGGGCTTCATTGCGGCGTCCCAAGAAAAAATGTAGGTCGGGTGAGGGATAGGATCTGGACGAGTTAAAGGATAGGATGGGTCAGGATAAAGGAAGAAAAGATCGGTCGAATATTACATTAAGGTTGTATATACAAAAAAACGGGAATTGTTCCGATCTTCGGTCAAAATTTGGGTTATTATAGAATCAGAGGATTTTAGACAAGAAGAGTTCGGGGTCAATCTGGCTAAGGCATAGCCAATAGACCTGTAAGGATTAGGAGAAATTGGGAGGCGACCAAAAAATACAGAGGGGAAGTATAGACGGAACCACAGTTCGAGGAACCAAAATGGTCCCGAGGCTGCAGTGTCCTCCTTTTTAGTATCTGTAAGACGGGAACTTACTCGGGTTAAACCTTCAAAGAGGTTGGCTAGAAATAAGGTACCTAAAGAAGAAAAATGACCACATGCCAAATAAATGGCTAGGTCAATATGAGTTGAAAGGACAAGTTTAGAAGGGGAAAGAATGATATATCTGTGAAAGATAAGAAGAAAGGAATGTAAGCTCAACATTCAAACTTTGTGCATACAAAAGAAATAAAAAAAAAAGAAGAAGATATACCTGCAGAGCCAAAAGAGGAGAAAAGCAGTGTGTTCCAACTCGGAAACAGGGGTATCCTCCTTACCCTGATACTTATTGACAAAGTATGTCCATCCTCTTTCTCTTTCGGGCAGTTTGGCCAGGGCCCAACCTTGATGGTTGGGGGGAAGTTCTTGATTTCCGAGAGAAACCAGAACAGGGTCATCTCCTGTGATCGGCAAATGCGCGATCACTGCAACATCCATTAGGGTTGGACCCATTGGACCTGAAGGGAGGAAAAAGGCACCTGTTTGCGAATACCAAAAAGCCGCCATGGCCATCAGAACTTTGTCGTGGAGGTAGAGGGGTTGCGTCGAAAGGAGGATAGCTTTATCGATTCCTTGGGTTTTCCATTGGTTTTCAAAATGAGGAAGGAGCCTCGCGTACCATTTCTGGTAAGCATCTTTTGGATCGGTCAAGTGAGTCTTGATGCTATCCAGAAGGCGTTCCGCTTTGAACGCTTCATTGTTGACGATAATAGGAGAAACTTGAACAATGATTGAGCTCATACGCTCAGCATACGCAGTAGTAGTGCAGTAAGGGCGGATTGTAGCGGTAAGAACTTTGGAAGATACAAGGGGTATTGAGGGTTCAGTTCCGTCGAAAGGGAGTGCAAGAACGTATTGGTTAGCCATTTACGCGAGGATGAGAAAAGATAGAAGAAAAAATTGAAGGAGAGAGCTATACGAGAGCAGAAAGGGTTTTAGAATTGTGAATGTGTAAGTTTGGGAAGATGAAGTTGGGGTTTAATATAAACCCTTTTGATTTGACGCGGCGCCGTGTGATGATCACACTGTAACCCTAAAACGTCACGTCTTCCGTAGTTTAAGGAGTGACATTTCGGCGGGAGGGGGCAACTTGTTGAGCGCAAAATAATGGATAGGGTTTTAGGAAATGGGCCTGCCAAGATTAAGTCATTCGAAACGTCCATTGGGCTTTTTGAAAGTCCAACTATGATTGCAGTAACCGGGTCGGATGGGTCTTGAGTCTGATCAAACCTAGTCGGGTAAATCCCCAAGGTCGGATGAATGAGGAGATTGGACCTGGTCGGGACCAAATAGTTCGGACATCAAAATCGGACCTAGTCAAGACAAAGTCTGAGGGTCAGATTTAAGAAAGTCGGACAGGTGATAAGATTGGACCTGGTCGGGACCAAATAGTTCGGATAGAGAAGTCGGACCTAGTCGGGACAAATTCCAAGGGTCGGGCATAAGAAGGTTAGATATTGAAGTCGGACCAAGTTCAAATGTTAGGTATTAAAAGTAGTTATCCTATAGGTCGGGTAAAATGCGGTTTTCTGGTAGTGGGGGGTAGTTTCGAATTGGTGAGCGGTTTTAAAGTCGGACGTGATAGGACGGTTCTCATACGTGTCGATAGAAGAGAATTTTTTGGGGAAGTTAACAGCGGTTATGGTAACCGACCGGATAGCTGTTCGAACCGTACCTTCGAGGGGTTATTTAAAGATCCTGTACGGTATAGAGAGGGCATCTTCAATCGACATCAAATTCAAGGAAATCGCTTTTGGGGATCACCACTTTACTTTCCAGTCTTTATTTTATTCTTATTTCATTCTACGGTGTTTAGAAGTTTCTAATTTTAGACATTCATCTATCAAATTCGGGAATATTTCTCTATTTTCGAATTTTACTTTTTATTGTTGAAAAACGCAGCAACAACTGTATTATAAAAAAAATTGTTAAAAGAGAAAAGAAAGAAAAAATCGAACTCCCAAAGTCATAGGACTGTAATGGACGAAAAGGCAAAGTATAAATATATAGTGGGTTGTCCATCATTTTCTTGGTCGTGGATGCACAATTAAAGCAATGTATTGTATTGTGTTTGTTGATTGACTTGAAAGCATTGCAACATCAACATGCCTACAATTCTACTTCAACCATGCAATTATTTTGATGCCAAATAACTCAATGCTCATTTCCCCAATATAATAATTTTATTTTTTTTGAAAAAAAAAATAAATAAGAACACAACTGCTTTGCACTTTAATTTGAGGGTTTGTATTGTTTTTTTTACTCGATTTTATTTTTTATTATACAATTGTTATATTTTCCAATAAAAATATATTATTTTTTTATAAAATAATAAATCGAAATACTATGTTTTTTTTAAAAAAATCAAACTCAAATACAATTCAAACAAACCCTAAATGCTATTCTATACATCCTATTTTCTCTTTACTCTTTTAGCTTTTACATTGGGTTTGCTTTACTTATATCTATAAATATATACATAATCTTTTATTATTTAATCTTTTTATATATTACACTAAATAACTATTTTATTATAAAATATTAAAAAAATAAAAAACACAAATTTTTACGTACCTTTCACATCATTATACAAAAAATTGTTATGTTTGTTATTTTTTAATTTTAAAATTTAAATCAATACTATTAACAATTTTTAATAAAAATATATTTTATTTACAAAATATCACCTTAAAATACTATTTAAACAAAAATTCAAATTAACATTTCATTTCAAATCACCAACAAACTAGCGAATATAAGACCCGGGGCAAAATTAAAGAATGGGCCTTATAGATATATATACTAGTCTGGGCTTAGACGGGCCCAGTCTGGGCCCATGCTCATTGTGAAGTGTTAAGCTTAGAAGAGGCCTATTGAAAACCGTTTTTTTTTTAATTTGGTTCTAGTTTTGGACCGGACTAAAACGGGTCGATCCGATTTGGACTGGCCGGGCTGGCCCAATGGACAAGTTGATTGGATCTAGAAACCAATACCTTTCTTTTGCAATTTGGGCTTCGTTTTCAATATTTGGGTTGGGCTTCCATAATAATTTTTATTTTGAATTAATATTTATTCATTTTGATCTATAATAAAATTTGTACATCAAGTCTCAAACATTCTGTAATTTTCTTTCTTTACAAACATTCAGTAATATTTTTAAAATATAAAATAATTAGTTATATTTAATTTGTATCACATTATATTATTGTTGATATTTTTTTTTCAACAATAAAAAGTAAAATTCGAAAATAGAGAAATATCTTCGAATTTGATAGATGAGTGTCTGAGATTAGGGATCTCTAAACACTGTAGAATATATAAAATAAAATAGCAAAAATAAAATAAAAGACTGAAAAATAAAGTGGTGATCCCCAAAAGTAATTCTCTTGAATTTTTTTCAATTGAAGATGTTTTTTTTCGAACAGTACGGAATCCTTAAATAACCCCTTGAAGATGCGGTTCGAACCGCTGTCTGGTCGGTTACCATAACCGCTGTTAACCACCCCAAAAGTTCTCTTCTATTGACACGTGTGACAACCGTCCTACCACGTCCGACCTTCAAAAACCGTTCACCAGTTGAAACTATCCTCCACTATCAGGAACTGCCTTCTCACCCGACCTGCAGATTAGCTACTTCACTACCCGACATTGTTACGCCCGACCTTATACTGCCTTATCTCCATAGCAGACCTAACTGTGCCCGACCATCGAACTCGGCATGATTATACACGACCTCAGCGCCCGTCCTTTGGGATTTGTCCCGACCAGGTCCGACTTCAATGTCCGACCTTATTAGGTCCTGACCAGATCCGACTTCAGTACCCGACCTCATTACGTCCAACCATTGAAATTGACCAGACCAGGTCCAGCTTCATCATCCGTCCGACTTTTGAGATTGACCCGACCAGGTCCGACCTTATCGTCCGACCTTAAGCTTGTCCGACCAGGTCATTGCAGCTATATTTGGAATCTCGAAAGCCCACTAAAATTTTGAATAAATATTAACCTAATTTGGTAGGCCCATTCTCTAAAACCCTACTGTTGATGTAATTTTTCAACAAAAATAAAGTAAAATTCAAAGATATAGAAAATATCCTTAAACTTGATTAATTAGTGCCTGAGATTAGGAATCTCTAAACACTGTATGGTACAGAAAATAAACTGGAAAATAAAAGACTGAAATTTAAAGTGGTGATCCCCAAATCTGACTTTGCTTTGTTGAAGTTGATTGAAGATGCCTTTTCTGACGGATTTGAATCCTTTAAATAGCCTTTCAGAGAAAACGGTTTGAACCGCCGTCTGGTCGGTTACAGCAACCGCTGTCAACCGACCACCAATTTCTCCTCTATTGACACGTATTACAACTTCCTTCAACCGTTCCCACCAGTCACAGAACTCAGACCTGCCTCTTACCCGACCTGCCTGTCCACTGCCAAATTACTTTTGCCCGACTTCGTCCTTCGCCCGACCTGCTTCTTCGCCCGACCTCACTTGGGCCGACCTCCGCATCAGCCGCCCTCCGTCTTTGACCGAAAACCTCCGCGTCTGTCCGTACCTCTTCCTTACCCGACCTTCCTCTTGACAGACCTCCGCGTCTGCCCGACTTCGCCTTTCATCCGATCTACGGTTTACCCAACTTGGGTACACCTTTTTTTTTTAGACTCCGCCCGACCTGAATACAGCCCGAACTGCTGATCACGGACAACCATCTCTTGGTAGTACCTGAGTCTGGATTTGGATCAATTCTTGAGATCTTACCTTTCTTCCTTTGCCCGACCTTTATTCTGCCCGACCTCCAGACCTTTTGGCTTTCATTCAGACCCTACCCAGAATCCTACTGCCACTTACTATTATTATTATTTTTTGTGCTTAACACCTACTTACCATTTTTTGTGCTCAACAATTATTTAAATAAAAACAAATAAAATATATATTTTTCTTATCATCATATCACTTAATTTCAAAATTATTTGTTTTTCTGAAATGTTGCATAGCTCAAAGGAAGAAAAAGTTTTTTTTTGTAGCGGTTACAAGCGCATTTTGATATTTAAAAATCACCCGCAGTATCAATTTGGTAAAAGATATTTTCACACGTGGCGGTTTTTTATAGGTCCGTCACCCCACTGTTACTTACTGTCAGGGTAAAGTTGAATTTCCCGCCAACAACTTGCCTCCTCCAGCCAAACACCGAAACGTCACTCCTTGAACTGCGGAAGACGTGACGTTTGGGGTTGCAGAATGTGATCATTACACTGCTCTATGTTAAATCAAAAGGGTTTATGTAAAACCCTTCCCTCATCTTCCCAAATTCATGCATTCCAATTTCTGAAAATTCTCCCCTGTTTCTTCATCTAACCATTTCCTTTGATATTTCCTTCTTCTTTGTCTCCTACACCTTCACACAAATGGCTAACCAATATGTTCCTGCACTTCCTTTCGATGGGGCTGACCCTTCGGTGCCTTCTGTGGCTTCAAAAGTTCTCACTCCCACCATACGCCCTTACTGTACTACCACCGCACACGCTTAGTGCATGAGCTCTATTATTGCTCAAGTCTCTCCCATTGTCGTCAACAACGACGCATTCAAGCCAAAACGTCTCCTAGACAGTATCAAGACTCATCTCATTGATCCGAAAGATACCTATCGCAAATGGTAGGCAAGGCTTCTTCCCCACTTCGAGGACCAATGGAACAAACAGGGGGTTGATAAAACTATCCTTCTCTCAACACAACCTCTCTATATGCATGACAAAGTCCTACTTGCCATGGCAGCCTTTTGGCATTCTCAGGCGAGTGCCTTCTTCCTCCCCTCAGGTCCTATTGGACCGACCTTGATGGATGTGGTAGTTATTGCGCATCTACCGATTGTAGGCGAGGATCCT